AAGGTCTGCCATTGGTCCCTATCTTGAGCAAGATTAACTTTATTCTCCCACACAAGACTAATCTCCCGAAGAGGCCTCTTTCTTTCACGTTTTCAGACTAAAATCTGGTACGTTTTTCTCAGCTTTCCCATGCGTGCTACATGCCTGATTCATCTTATCCTTCGGGGAAACAGTTAAATGCACACACAATTTGTAGTGACACAGAAGTAAGTCACATTTGCAGGGCTTATTACGCTTGCGCGATGAATAAAAGGTGGACTAGGCTGAGAGCAAGGTGGGTCGTTGATGTAGGATTGTAATACATGCACAGTATGCAGTGTATGGTGTGCTGCCTACGTACCGGGCTGTTACGTCTTGTTAAACTTGCTTGCACAAGGGACTGCTTCATGCGACATTAAAATAACGCGGGAAGTACAATACATATGCCTCCAAAAACATTATCAAATGTGGTAGTGTTCACCATTCTTCAAACAAGTGCTCTCCACAAGGTGGACATAAACTAACGTTCTTGGAACTGATCAACTTTTTTTTTCCCCCTTGGCACTACAGCCCCAGTGGACCTAGGCCTACCTCCATGAACTTCTCCGTTCACTTCGGTTTTCCTAGATCTTACACATTCGGTAGGACTCCTTGGGCGGGTGATCAGCTCGTCGCAAGGCCTCTACCTGTACGCAAACATAGAAAAACGCACACACAAACTAAACATCCATGCCCTGAGTGGGATTAGAACCCACGATCCCGCTTTCCAAGCGAGCGAAGACAGTACATGCCTTAGACCGCCCGGCTACCGTGACCGGCAACTAATCAACTACCTAAATTAAATACAGTTCGTCTTGGGAAGGTAACAGTCGTTAACATACCTCAGAAATGACCTGCTTTTTATAGGAAATCAAAGGTTCATTACAATATACACGAGTCCCACCCCCAACGGTCCCAATATTGCGCATCTTATGAATACATAAAAGAATTATGATAATGTGAAGTGAATAAACTCAGCTTCCATTAACGGATCCGTCCGTTTTCACGCTCTCGACCAGAGCATGTATTTGTATATTCTGCACATAACGCAGTAATACTAAAGTAAAAAAGTAAAGTAAAGCTATCCCTGTGAGAGGCCGTGAAGGCCCATAGGGTTGTGAGACGTCGAGGCGCCCACATTATCTAGACAATCGGCTCAAAGATGGCGGTAAGTTTGTCAGCCTTACGCGCCGGCCGCGCTTTACGCCCCAGGAGAATTATTTAATTAATTCCTGGTACTAATTTCTGTTAGAGGCCGAGTCGACCCCAGGGCCATAGTGCGGCTGGAAGGATTAGGTCAATTAAAAAAAATCCAATGACCTCATCGGGACTTGAACCCGCGACCTTCCGGCTTATAGCATAGTGCCTTAACCAACAACGCAGTAATACTAGCATAAGAAAATTTATATTAACGGAAAACGATGTTATTAAGCCGGGTTTTAGGCTTTCACATCGGTCTCCATGGAATGTACTATCCTCTCGGATATGTCATGCGATCCGGTAGATAGTCAAAGACGTTTCGGAGGAACGCATCGTCTCCACCTTCAGGATTGAAGCTAAACAAGTACAATCCTCACGGAAAGTCTGTCAAATTCTACTGGACCATACGCGCCATATTCCAGAATATTCACCTTTTTAATATTGTACAGATTTTATATTGTGGGGGGGGGGCGACACACAGTATACTTCATATTTTTGTTGAAGTGTTTTCCAATACATTATTTGAAATTCTACATATCTCACTGGTCTTGATGTTCGTGTATTGTTGAAACAAATATTTAAGAGGGACAACAAATATATTATAGGGTGTCCAGAAAGTAAGTTCGGGATTTTTAGGACGCTATATTTTCTTAACCATTATACATATTGCCATGTGTTAGTAACCAGACACGTGGTTTGGATTAATAATCCGATTTATTAAACGTTTCTAACTCGTAATTACAAATAACTAAAAGTCTCACTGATCTATGCACGGTATAGGTCGCTGCAACTATAGCACACTTAAAGCCTTCAGTCTCTTCACTATCAACCCATCCATCCGTCCGACCGTCCGTCCGTCCATCCATCCATCCATCCATCCATCCGTCTTGTCAACCCATCCATCC